TTCTTGGTTTCTCATGAGTGCTTTTAGAGAACTAAGCCCTTCAAAAAATTCTCATAGGAACGGCTCCATTCCTCACAAGATAGGTGACTTCCCATTAAGAGTATCCTGCAATACCCCACTTGTTATTTCCAAGTATAGGAATCATTAAAAGTAAAGCTTATCCTAAATACGCTGCAGATGACACTGTTTCATCATAGGACATGGGTAGGAGATTATCTCCGCAGTGCTCTCATTGAATCATCCACAATTCAGTTGTCCATTTGAACCTAGATCTTGGGATCTCCAGTCAGCTAGGTTGGGTTACCATTATGGCGATTCTTAAGACATAGGCTTTTAACGCATTCCCCTCGATGATACAACTTACTCTCTAGTCAAACATTTAATTAATTGGATCCAATAGGTTGATGACTATCTCTTATGGTGTGCACTTCCATTTATGAAATTATATTTCATTCGAGAGTCGTTGTTCCAACGTAATTCCTCCAAACATGTGTTCGAACTTGATAAATAATTTGCTAACACTAGGGTAAATTCCCCTGCATTTAAGGTATTTGTTAGAAGATTTCCAACTTTTCAATACCTTAAAACTTCAATTATAAGAGATAATCGTTATCTCTTTCTAAAAGCAAATTACTAAGTCACCCCCACAATTCTCTCATATTGTGGTTGCTTTTAACGCTATTAATATATTTCATATTAAGAGGTAGGAATTCTCGTAAAGATAAAATCTCTTTGTATCTTCGCATAGGCTTTATAAGAGCCACTTGTGTTTTTAAGAAAAACACTTGTTGGCGCCATTCAACAATGCTTTTGTGTCGCGATTCAACAAATTCATGATACTATGACCAATCATGAGTTATGTAAAACTCACTTGACACTTCGGTGATGGCCATCACATTATTTCACCTCTCAAAGGATTTGTGTTTCCTTTTAGGTGAATGCACATATGTCATAGTGATCAACTTGCCTCTTCTAAGTGGTATTATACAAATGAAGCACAACAGTTTTTTTGCCAGTCTGCAGTAAGACATTGTACCATTCTCAAATAATTTGGAGAACTATTAATCTCCCAAATTCATCCAACATATATACGACCCTGGGTTTTGGACACTTTGCATCTGCAGCATCTCTCAGAAATTTATGTGCTTGGGAACAAAAGCAGAACCGTTTGACTAGAATGCATTCTATATGCATTTTTATTTCCAATTATGCTTCTAATATCATATAGTGGCATTCCACGTATAAAGAAAATCAACTTATGCCACTCAAAATCCCAAACGGCACTATCACTGTAACTGATATGGTCACAGTCTGAAAAGAAACAAACTAGTGACCACGCCATCTCTACACATAACCAGTGATCGAATAGTTCACCAATTCGTTTCCGTATAGGCATAGAGATATAAACGGATCAAGATTCAAAGTTCTTAATCTAGTGGTCTTGCTTTGAAATGGTGAGACTCTTCTTGGAGTCGCTAGAATTAAATCTACATTTCCAGTTCATCCGTGTGCAATCTATACCATTACATCTGCATGCAATGCAAGAACTCAAAAGAAGCATCCATTCCAAATTAGTTCCCACTACGAAACGGTGCGATCATCAGAAGTCGCATACAGTTTCTGCATTGAATAACCGAATAACTGACATTTTTGAAAAATCATAAACATGTAATCGCTTAAGAATATTATAACGATAGAGTTATGAAAGCAAATATATTCTTATATTCCTAATCACTGTGTGCATTTGTAAATTACTTGCTAACAGGAAACAAACTTTGCAGTTTCAACACAGTCACATGTGGTTATTCTGAAACTAAGTAGATAAATTGGAAACCAACCAGCATAAACAAAATTGAAAATAGGTATCATATATTTATGTCTAAATACCGTGTCTCTCAAAGTCATATCAATAAAATGAACCAATAAAGAAATATATGTGCATATAGTGACATGTAGATCTTAACAAATTGAAAAATGAATAAATTTAAGCAAAATTCCCAGAACGCAAATGTGTCCTCTTTAACCAAATATAAATATATTGTTTCTTCATGTTTTAATCAACCGTAAATATACCAAATAAACCAATAAACATATCGTTTCTTCATGTTTTCATTCAACCATAAATAAAGCAAATAAACCATAATCTTGTCTTAAGATTGTTGGAAAAATTAGGGTTTAATTGCTATATTAAATCACATGGAAAATCAAGAAATAATTTATGCAATTATATATTAAAGTAATGCATGCACATGAGTAATTAATGTTAAACGAACATAACATAATGGATTAGAAAAACCTGAAAATACGGTCGAGGCAAGTGTTAGACACTTTGTCCTTAAGACAAGTTTACGCCCCACTGTGGTGCTCATGGTTGATCGGCGCATGTCTCTCAAGATACAATGACCACGTCCTTGTAATAGTAGCACTCCAAATCTCAAGGCTCCATGAACCATGATTGTGTTGAAAACTCTCTCATATGGACTCAATGAGACTCTCTAATATTTAATGCGTATGTATGATGAAATTTTATCTTGTGATTATAGGAAGCTTCCCTATTTATAGAATGTGAGGTACCTCTTTGGAAAGCATGTGACTATTCATGAAGAGTCAAAAGTTGCAACACTTTATTTAAGTAGACACATCTTTCTACCAAAAGGCTCTACTTTTAATTTCCATTCAATTAATAAATTTAATATAATAATATTATTATTAAATTTTCCAACAATTGTACCAAAGCATGTTATTTATATGCGCCTGAATATGAAAATTATTAGATCATGAAACGATGATAATTGATAATTTTGATAATAGTAGCTACTCATATCATCAAGTGTTATTCAGTCCACTTTTCTATTAATCGACAACAAAAGGTTGGCTAAATGGGAAAGAGGCATGTTCCAATTTTGAGTGTCAATTAAAAAAATGTTAACTAAGTGAACCTATATAGTTTGAACCCAAAGCTTATTTTTGGGTGAAGTGAAATAAAATCACTTATATGGCATAGAGCTTTGTAGTATATTCTACCATTGTAGATATAGCCATCTTTAAGCGTACGATTTATGCCATGAAATTCTTTATCAAAGATTTCAAATGAAAAGCCTAAATCTCAAAGTATGTATGATACCAACACATTGTATTTTAAATCAATATGAAATTCTTTATCAAAGATTTCAAATGAAAAGCCTAAATCTCAAAGTATGTATGATACCAACACATTGTATTTTAAATCAGTTTAGTATGAATTGCCTCCATGACTACTCTTGTTTGTTCGAACTAAAGTTACATTGTTGCAACATACTTTTTAAAGTGTCAACATTTTTAGAACGATTCTTGAAGAGTTATTTATGTAAATGGATTATATTGGCCATGTTCATAGTTTATTTTGAATCCTATATATATATATATATATATATATATATATATATATATTTTTTTTTTTTTTTTTTTTTTTTTTTTGTAACCTTTTGTTCTTTGCATAAATACAAAAAAGTTATTGTCAACTCCCAATAAACTCTGATACTTCCTAATTACAAGTTCTACTAAAGTTCAATTCATGAAGATGATTGTGTCATCTATATCAAACTCAACAATGATGACAGTTGAATCAAGGCTTACTATTTTCAGGGGGAATCCATTAAAGGGAGTTATTTACAGGGGGAGTCTTCAACAATAAGCTAAACTGGACATAAGCTCGTTGTGCTCTTTTCCCTTCGATTAGGTTTTTATTCGCTTGGTTTTTCTCTAGCAAAATTTTAGCGAGACAACACACCATATGAATATATCACAAACGTAGTGCCTGATTTTTCTCCTAGCCTTCCCTTAGGTTTTGTCCCATTGAGTTTTCCAAACACAGTTTTATCGAGGCAAGTATCATTAATTGGTAGACATCCAGAAGTGTTGTAAATATTTTTTATTATATTGGTGTCCACTTTCTGAGACAGTATACATATGTAATTAATTAGAACATCTTCTATATAAATTCTAAGTTTATAAATAGGCACTCTAATGAGAGTGATAAACACTCTCATTTTCTTCTCTCAGTCATTCTCTATTATCTCTTAGTTCATATATTATCTCCAACAGTAAATAAAATTATTTATATTGGTTAGGTTGAGGGCTTTAGATGTCAAACTTTTTTCATTATGTTATGAGAAATGATCTTCGAGCCCCTTTTTTCTTCCCCTCCATTCATAATTTTTTTTTTCTTCAAGCTTTTAGATTAAATAAATAATAGTAAGGTGAAGGGTCCAAAAGAAAAAGAAAAAAAGGAAATGCAAAAACCACTGCACTGCCATTTAGTACTACGGTTTATTGCTATTCCTCATTCATTTGTAAGTGAGAGGTCTTAGGTTCGATTTTCGCCAAAGACGAATTTGAACCATATATTGCTAGCTCATTGTAAGATTTTACTTACTTCCCCAATTCCTTAATATAGATAATATCATTTGTTTAAAAAAAATAATAAATAGCTACACTGTTTATCATAGTAGACATAGATTAAGCCCAATCAAAAGTATCCTGAAACAATGAAGAGCTTTTAGGTCAAACAAAAAAGGGTTCATGTTGTAAAAAAACTCAAATTCAGTTTTGCTGGTGTTTAAATATTGGGGTTCTACGGTTCTCCCTCATAAATTACTACTTGACTTATTTTGCTACCAGGCCAGGTAACCATAATAAAAGAGTTCTCTTTTTCCACTCACCTTTTAGTAAAATTATTCCGGAAAATGAATATGAACGGATATTTCACCACTTCTTATCCGGGTAATGGTAGGGAGATTAAATTTGTAAATAAAATTTTGAAAACTAAAATGGAAGTTGATGATTGGTTTATTACTTAAGCGTTGGTAAACATGCTTATTCATATTGGTGACATATCATTTAGTTTGTAAATTCAATCTCTCTAACATTATCTGTTCTTATCCATCGCCGTCCAATATGTTTGCTGGTGTTAAACAGAAACAGTTGCCACGTATGCTTCTTATCCAGGCCACCCAATATCTGATAATAATCAAAACTAGTACTAAATAGCAGCACCACTTGTATTTTGCAAGTAGAGAGATTAGAGAGCAGAGATACAGAGAAAGAGATGAGCAGCAGAGACAGAAGATGGTCTCTTGACGGAATGACGGCTCTTGTCACTGGTGGAACCAAAGGAATTGGGTTAGCTTCTCTATATTTGGATCCTTAAGACCATTAATCTCATTTTATTTTCAGTTTTTCTTTTACGTGCAATGCAATATTCTCTTTATTTCTCTAATTGGAGCTTTGATCTTTAAATTTTAGTTCAATTGGAGATTTTGGTACCTAGACTTATGACAATATGAAGGAAAAATAAAGGGGCCAGAAACTAATGGACATAAGTGATAAGGAAGTTACTTAGAAAGACCATTGATCGGCCTACACGTTCAGAGATCAATCCATAAATGTTTAATTCAAGAACTAAAGCTGAAATTCTAACCAAATTTAAGCACAAATGTTCCAATTTTTATTCCTTAAATTTTACTATTCCATGTTTGAAGTTAATAATGTTATCATACAGGTATGCAATAGTGGAAGAATTGGCAGGGCTAGGTGCAATTGTGCATACTTGTTCGCGAAATGAAGTTGACCTTAATGACTGCCTGAGTCAATGGGACGAGAAGGGTTTTCAAGTCACTGGCTCAGTCTGCGATGTGGTGTCAAAGACCCAAAGAGAGGAGCTTATAAACAAGGTCTCATCACTCTTTGATGGCAAACTTAACATCCTTGTAAGTACATGACTCATCAATTAATGGAAAGAATAATTTCAAGGCTTAATTATTGCAGTACCCCGAGAGTGTTTTAGGGTTCCACTTTACCTTCCCAAAGTCATTTTGACCTATTTTTCTCTCTAAATCATATATTCGTGTCCCATTTTGTCTCATTTCGTTAGTTCCATTAAATATTCCGTTAAAGATGTTGAAAGTGTTTGGCAACAATTTCACCAAAGATGATGTTAGAAGTTAATATAACGGTTGGCATCTAGAGAGGTCCATACATGATTAAGCTAGAAGATTAATGTGAGTTCATGATTTTGAAGGTTGAGAAGTGTTTAAAGATGAACTCAATTGAATCAAAGTGAATCAAGTATTTGTCAATTATCCATAAGAAGAGTTTTCAAGTAAGAGAGTGTAGGAGCTATCTGCAGCCTTTGGACTTCATGTCTTTAAAGTTATTTATTTTATTTCTGTCGTTTTGCGTTTTATATAACACAAGCTTCTCCCTATAATACAACGGTACTGTATTAGAGTGTTTCAACGATTAGATTGTGAGACTATCAAATGTCACAAATGAAAATCTAACCGTTCATTGAACCAAACATTCTACACACCGCTCCATTGTAAAGTTTTGCAGAGTACCACTCACTTTTGGCATTTTATTGTTTTTTAGGGATATTGGTCATGAAGAAAATTAAAATTGTACTAGTTCATTTTAGTAGAAAAGATGCCTTAGATTGAATCGGGATCCTCACCGGATCCATTTTGTGAAGATTTCGAAGATCTGTCAATCATGTCCATTCATCGTATATCGTGCGGTCAGAAATTATTTTAAATATTTTTATTTAAAATTAAACACAAACAGTACTTCGCATGATGTACGATCAACGAACATGATTCACAGATCCTAGGATCCTCACCAAAAGGATCTGGAGAGGATCCTGACGCCCTTAGATCGTATTTGTGAGGATGTGAAGGTAAAACAGTCTCATATTAATGAAAAGAGAAACCTTGCAAGGGGTTATAATAATTTGGGTTACTCCCCATATTGCTAATCTAGTTTCCTCAACTTTTTTTTCAGTATCTGGTTGTTTGAGAAAGCTTTAACTTTTTAGTGAAAATTAAGAATTTGAATCCAGTAAAAGTGCACTTTTTTCCTTAATTTATAATTGTCATCCATTAGCTTTGAACTCATAACCCCTTTCAACAAAGTTGAGACTATTGTATGTTTATGCTAAACCTTTCCAAAAATGTGTGGCTGTAGATAAACAATGTGGGGGCTAACAAACCAAAAGCAACACTAGATTACACAGCTGAAGATTACTCATTCATGATGGGCATCAATCTTGAATCTGCTTACCATTTGTGCCAACTTTCACATCCTCTTCTCAAAGCTTCTGGATCTGCTAACATCGTTTTTTTATCCTCCGTTGCTGGTGTGGTCTCACTAGAGGTTGGATCTATATATTCTGCAACTAAAGGTGCTTAATTATTTTTGTTATATATTTTTGAACTTTATGTAAAAATAAAACCCAATAGATAATTTTTGTTTTGCATCCAGTTGAAGAATTGAGCTTAAATTGTGTGGCTTTTCTGTATTGTATCTCTCAGCTGCAATAAATCAATTAGCAAAAAACTTGGCATGTGAGTGGGCAAAAGATAAAATAAGGACCAACAGTGTTGCACCTTGGTTCATCACCACTCCCCTCGGTGAAATGGTAAGATCATTATCATCATCACGTGCTTATGCATGCTTTTTATTTTCATTTGTCTTTAAATACAACCGATCTTAGGGGAGGAAAATCGAAGCAAGACCTAAGGAACATAGGTGAATTCTCTTAGTCACTTACACTATAAAAGTCCCTTCATGTATGCATGCTTTAACTTCAATGCCAATCAACATTTCATTGATGGGTCTTTCAAAGTCCGTAATCGGAATCGGAATCACAATAAGAAGTTGGATGGTGATGAAAAGAAATTATTCATGTGTTTAATAAACATGGAGGAATCAGAACAGTAGTGGGACTTATATAAAATAAAGAATTCAACTCTTGATTTTAAATTTATTGGATTTGTTTTTGGGAGTAATATTTTGATTCTTGAAGAAACAAGCCAAAATTTTCATCATCTTTTATCCATTATTTATTTAATAGCCTAGTTATGTCAATGAATTACTTGTCAATTCACATTAAGAGAATTATCTTGCTCAAATTAAAATCAAAAGCATTAAAACATGAAAATGGAAAAGACAAAAAAAAAAAAAAAAAAAAAAAAAAAAAAAAAACCAATGCAGGATTGCCAATTTAAAAATAATACTTCTACTCTTATTTTTTTTTATTGAGGAGCTTGACAAATTATTAAAATCATTACTAATATATTTGTCATACATCCATTCTCTCTCAATATGCATGCAGTTTCTCGGAAATAAAAAGAAATCGGGGGTGATAAACTCTCGGTGTCCTTTAGGACGTCCAGGAGAGCCAGAAGAAGTGTCTTCCTTGGTAGCATTTCTATGCCTACCTGCAGCCTCTTACATTACTGGACAAACTATTACCATCGATGGTGGGGTGACTGTCAATGGCTTGCTCTTCCAAGAAACATGACATGGAAATCGTTCGATATGTCTGCATATGTAGTAGTAGACAGTGCTTGAGGTCAGGAAAAACAAAATCTCCTATCTAATTCCAAAGTGGTGAGCTTTAGTTTTATGTGTAATTAGGTGACATTAATGTTCTAATTAAATAAGTGAATGAAAGACTGCCTTGATTTAACTTTCACTGTATTAGAAGAGCTTATAAGCCTGGTTTGGTTTAGATGCATTTCTGTTCACCACCCTCAAGTGATAGTAATGTTCACTACCATACTTATTACTGTTGGATGTGTTTATATTTTGAAATTTATGTCTATCTACTACACAGATCTCAAAATTTAAAATCATTCAATGGTGATAACTAGAGTAATGAGCATCACCATCACTTGAGGGTGGTGAGCAAAAATATTCCCAAGTTGGCATTTAGAATTGTATTAGATTGAAATCAAGCACTTTCAAAATTTATCCAAAATTAAGGTAGAACATGAGTTAGTCATCTAGGAAACTAATATCTTGTATGTTGACATCTATCTATTTATCAATTCTAACATATATACCGGAACCACTCTACTTTTTTTATTTTAAGAGATCCACCGCTGTCTTTCCTATTTGATAATTTTTCATTGAATCGATATATAAATAAATAAAAATTATTACAACACTATCATCTAGACTGCCAAGCGAGCTAACAAGAGGTGAACATCCAGACTTAGCCACAGCAACTAGAAAGGATGTGCTTACCATTACATCCGAGTTTAAATCAAGTTCTCCAAAGTTTAGATGAGTTCAAATTTTCATCACGATTCTTGAGGCAAAAACAATAAAAACTTAACGAGTTAACTTCAAACCTCTCCAACGTACGTACCGATCATCAAAAAGAGGGAAAAAAAAAACAATAAGAGGGGAATACAATTTTTACTCCTAGAAATTGAAAGATTTAAAAGGTGTATGTAGGTAGTCATGTGCCTTTTCGTCTCAATTTCATAACCTCTTGCATAAAAATTCAACGGGTAAATTACATGTCCTCTCGTACAACTTCATTTATTTTTTTTCAATTTCATACAACGACTCTCGATTTCGTACCAATGTCACTCAATCGTTAGTCAGTCTGTCAAATTGACTATTAAGTGATGACGTGACAAGAACATAGACCACATGTTGCTGACTTGGAGTCCAAATTTGTGCTAGATGGCTAAAACAAATTCAAAGAATTTTTTTTTAATTATTATATAATGTGAAAATTAGAAAATTATTTTCAATATAATTTAATATTTAGATTGGTGGCTCACGGCACCTCGTGGGGGGTCACTGCGAGGGAGATTGAGAGGGAGATTGAGAGGGAGGGCTGACAGAGATTGTAGAGAGGATTTGAGAGTTGCACGGCGTGAGGAGGAAGAAAGAAGAAGGTTCCGGTTGTTAAAACAATTTAAACCTTTACCCGACAAAAGATTTATGGGGCAAAAGCTTCTAAAATTTTGATATATGTTCAAAACCCTAGATTTTCGTCGAGCAAACGCAATTTAGTTAAAAATTGGTGGGAATGGAGTTTCCCTGACAAACTTATGGAATATTTTGTTGGGTTACCTCTATTTTGGGGGCAAATTTAAATTTTTGGGAAATTCTAGGGGTGTATTTTTAAACCTTGCCCAACGAATACATAACTTTAGCCGACAAAATTTAGGAACTTGGCCCGACGAATTCAAGTATTCCGTCAGGCAACTTTGAAAAAGAATTTTTCTTGAGTTTTGAACGTTAAGTTCAAATGGTTAAAAAAAAAATCATTGAATTTCATAATTAGGTAAATTTAGTGTGTGCTTTTACTTTCAATTGGGGTCTTGTACAAAATCAGAGCTAAAACGACCATTAAATCTTGATTTTTTGTTTCTAACTGTCTAATGATTTCATTCCATTATCTAATCTCCGAACATTTTTTTTGGATGATTGTTGGTATAGAAGAACTCGAAGTATATGCAAACATGTTCAATGATTGGATCATGAAAACTAGTTTCGTAGAATGCGTGTCCCCTTGTAAAGAATGGATTCCAAATCACTTAGTATTTATTCTATACTTCCATTAAGTAGAATGTAAGTTTTTGGTGTATCCACTATTTTAAATATTTTAGATTGATGATCGTGTTCGTACATCTTATTCTTCTAGGGTTGAGGATTTGTGAAAAATCAACAAAATCGGAGCTAAAACAACCGTTAAATCGTGATTTTTTGTTTCTAACTGTCGAATGATTTTGTCCTGTTACAAAATCTCCGAACATTTTTTTTAGATGATTTTTGGTGTAGGAGATCTCGAAGTATATGCGTTTACATTTGATGGTTGGATTGTGGATTGAGATTTTTTCAAAATAGTGGAGTTGAGTGAGCTGAAAAATGGAGAAAGAATGAGTGTTTATAAAGCAGAAGCACATATGAGTCTAACGGTAGGGATTGAAGCAGAGATTAGGGTTTTGTTTTCACATATCTAGATACAGGATCCCTGAAATGATGAAAATGGGACTACACTTGTACTCATTATCACTCCTTAATTAAATGATATCAGCCAATGCTGTGATAGAAGACAAATTCGATTTTGCACTGCCTCATGCATTTGTTAGGGATTCCAAAACACTTAGAGTTTATTCTATACTTTTATTAAGTACAATGTATTCTTTCGTGAAAAAAGGCTCAGGCATAGGTTTTAGAGCTTTGGAACCATTACAAAAAGAATTGAGAAAAGAAGAAAAATTTAAATGATATCAGTCAATGCTGTGATACAAAACAAATTCGATTTTGCACTGCCTCATGTATTTGGTTGGGATATTTCTGATCATCACGATGGCATCCTCTCCATGTTTTTCCACATGCATGCAAGAAATCTGAGTAACTTTTGGTCATCACCTTCTTCGACACAAAGAAATTACTTAAGTACTCCACAGGGCGATCCTTATATCCCTTCCAACTACTAGTTCTAATATTTCTATTAGAAATCTTATAGTTGATGTGAACCCCTACAATTGACTTCCACTCCTTACTCTTCTTGTACTTACTAATCTTATTTTTACCACCAATACTATCCCCTAAACCTCCATAACTGAAGTTGTGAAGAAGAGAAGTGTGACTTGCAAAATTCTGCCCCTACGATCAATTTTTATCGCGTGCGTAAAGGTTTTGAATAAACTCTAAATGTTGACCATCTTTACCCTACCAACTAAAAAAATTGACAAAATTTGGTTTATTGGGCAAAATTTTGTTGGGCAAGCCTTATTTTTTGGTAATGTTCGTTTTGAGACATGCATTAGCTCATTGTGCCTATGAGATGACTTTATCAACAACTTTCATATTTTTCTGCAGATCTGATGCGTTTACTGCTTGAGTATTTACACATTTAAGGAAGAGTGTTATAATTAATATTTCACATAGTACGATTGTGTAAATCCTAGTAAAGATAAGTTAGGAATCCTTTACGATCTAGAAGATCTTTCCTCTTTGACTTTGTATTACTTGGAAAGCAGATTATTCTCTCATCCTTATTACTATAAATAAAGGAATTAGGCATGAGTCTAAGATCATGATTTTCCAGGCCGGAGTCAGGCGGATCAGAATACAAGTACCTGATGTGAGAATTACTTGACACTCAAATTAAACCCTCGTTTGACAATTGTAGTAGAATGGATAAGTGAGGGATCGTTCTAGACCGGGGATTAGGAGGGCTTGCTAAAACCTTCTAAATTGACTTAAAAACGTAAAAACAATATAAAACACTAAACTAGACTCAAAGAATGTGAAACTAAACGTTAAAACACTAAGACAAACCAAAAGAATCAAAATGCTTTAAAAACACAAACTAAATTGATTTCTAACTATATTGAACATTAAAGCAAAAAGGGGATTGAGGTTTGACGAAAATTGAAATAACGAAACAAGTTAATAACTAGACAGAATGTAATTGATGAAATAAGATGGTTGGTGAATTAGCTAGAGGTTCTTTCTCCACACATGATATTTATGCATATGAATCAATTTCCAGTTATTCCTTCATTGAATTATGAACGACAATGCCCCAAATTAACCGTGACATCACTAGTTAACCCTCAGATTTTCCTTATATTATTGGATTGGATGGCATCATTCGACAACCCAAAACATTCTCAAAAGTTCCCTACATGTCATCATAATAGAGATACAATCGATGATCATTAAGAATAATGAAAACCATAAGCATTGACAAAGCATTTGCAACTATGACATCATGTTACTCATGCTAAGAATTAAACTTAACGCGATCGTGACAAGCGACCTTCACTACTTTCAAGTATAAGTTAGTAACGATTATGTGAAACCTTCTTAAACTTTAGCCACATATTCATGCATGCTAATTAAGTGTCGACCCTCAATCAACAAACACAAATAAGTTAATCATCAAATAGTTAAGCCAATTGCATTCACGAATCAAGAGTTCATAACCGGAATTCATCAATTCATATTACATAAATAATCATGGTATTGAAATCACCCCTAGCCAAAAAGGGTTTAGTTCCTCATAACTTTGAAATCAAAGAAACACCTAAACATTCCAACAACTCAAACTTGAATTGTATGAACGTTTAGGCACTCTTCTCTTCCATTCCTCATATTACAAAACAAAGAGAATTGAATTTAAACATTGAAATCAAAGAAACGCGTAAACATTCCAACAACTCAAACGTGAATTGTATGAACGTTTAGGCCCTCTTATCTTCCTCTTTATTGTGGCACAAGGACTAAGGGATGTTGTTGGTGTGTTGAATGGATTGGGGGATTATGGAAATGGATGAGGAGTGGTGGAGAAAATGGAGAGAAACTCACGGCTAGGGAGAAGATGGAAGTGTTTGTGGTGTGTTGTGTATGAAATGAGATGATGCTTGAATGAATGAATGCAAGGGTATTTATAGGAGGAGTGGAGGTGTATATGGCTATTTGTTTAATGTGTTTGTGTATTATGATGAATGCATGTGAGTTAAAGAGGGAGAATGTGGTGAAATGATGAAGTAGGAAGGTGGAAATGCATGTGAGATGTTGGAAAGGAAATGGGAATATAAGTAGGCCACGGCATGGGAGTTGTTTTGTTGGTGTAAATGTGCCATGGTTGCAATGATGAAGAATAAAGGGTGCATGTGGGGCGGAATTGAATGAATGCAAAGTGAATGAATA